AAAAAAAATCATCTTTCGTTTCAATATTTGTTTTCATTGCTAGACAGTATATTGGTGCATCCTCTCTGCTTCCTTGGCAATTTTGAAAATGTCTTCTTAAAAAAAAGTTGCAACATTTCTTCCATGCTCAGATTTATTTTTCCTGTTTTCTTGAGATGTTATAATAGCTTTTGACTATTTCATTTATGGATTGTGTAGAAGAAAGCCTGGGATCTTTTGTGTAATCTTTCTTTCCTTTTAGAGCAACTTTGTAGGAGTTGTCTGCTACCTGCTCCACAGACACTGTGGTAGGTTGTCTACCACAGTAAGATGTGTTAGGTTAATTCGTTTGCCAAACTTCTATTTTTTTGCTCTTTAATATGGCTGTGTAGATTACCCAATCAAAATAACAGATGATAAATTTGAAGCAAAAAAAAAAGATTGATTTTTCATCTTTTTCTAATGAATGAGAGAGCAAGAAGTGATCATGGCTGGATTACTTTCAAGCAAAAAGTAACCTATTCAGTAACTTCATTGGTATCTGAATCTTACTATTTATTCTCAGACACATGCATTCATAATATTACCCTTAAAGTTTAAATGTGAGATAAAGGGGATATTCTGTAGCAAATGCCACCATTGTGCCCACATGAAAGTAGTACACATAAAATCTTAAGTTTGCAAAGAATTATATTCTGTCACTTCTGCAGTTCCATAAAGGATTGGGCTGAAGGATTTTCTGATTCATTTACACTCTTGCTTCTAACTTAGCTAAACAGTAACTCATCTTTAGTTTTCCACTATTTCTTTGCTAATTGATTGCAGTTGCTAATGGTTTTCTTTACTTTTACCAATTCCAAACAGCTCTTGGAATGATCATTGTTAAAGGAGGTTCCCACACAAGTCTAAGAACGAACGCTTGTCCATCACAGTATAACTTACCTTTTCTCCTTTTCTTTTGTTTTTAACAGAGAGCGCTTGAGTTCCTTTGGCTTCCCATTCTCAGCCTCCTCATGCCTCCTTCTCCACTAGACGACAGGGTTGTAGTGGCACTCTCCAGGCCTGTAAGACCTCAGGATCTCAATCTTTGCTTAGATTCCAGCTACCTTGACTCTGCTTCCTCTGCCAGTGAAAGCCCTGTGAGTCTCCTCAGCACGGCTGTTGTGTCCATCAAGGCTGCTAATCTGACGTATATGCCCTCATCCAACGGCTCTGCCCGCTCCTTGAGTTGTGGATGCAGCAGTGCCAGTTGCTGCACTGTGGCAACATACGACAAGGACAATCAGGCCCAAACCCAAGCCAGCAGCAGCAGCATCTCTGCCAGCATAGGAACCTTGACTACTTGCTCAGCAAACCAAATGGTCAACAACAATGAGAACATTAGCCCTTTGAGTCCATCAGGTGGTGTGGGGAGTCCAGTCTCAGGTCCAACAAAGCAACTGGCAAGCATCAAAATCATCCATCCCAATGACCTGGCAAAAAAGATGACCAAATGCAACAAAAGCCACCAAGGCCCAGTCATCATTGATTGCCGGCCTTTCATGGAGTACAACAAAAGCCACATCCAAGGGGCTGTTCATATCAATTGCTCTGATAAGATCAGTAGGAGAAGGCTTCAGCAGGGCAAGATCACTGTCTTGGACTTGATCTCTTGCAGAGAAGGCAAGGACTCCTTTAAAAGAATCTTTTCCAAAGAAATAGTTGTTTATGATGAAAATACTAACGAGCCAAGCAGAGTCATGCCTTCACAGCCATTGCACATAGTGCTAGAGTCTCTCAAGAGGGAAGGCAAGGAACCGCTGGTTCTCAAAGGTATTTATAACTGCTATTCTGCTTTTTTCCCCCTCCTCTGGATCCAATTGAACTTGGGCAAGATCTGAGCCAAGTTAAATTTGACTGGGTTACCCATTCCTACACACATGTACTGTTGCTTACTTTCTTTTGAACAGAGTGGTGTTTAGAGGAGGTCACACCAATTCAGAAATCTTCTAGAGTTTCTGTGTTTCATGGGAGAGGGAAAAGTACAAACCATATAAAACTACTATTTAATAATAGTTTTCTGTGGTACTGTTAATAGAAAGGATCCCCAGCAGGATTCCATCTAAAGATCTCAAAGCACAGCTGTTTCATCATTTCTGGAGCTCCCAGTTGTTGGGAAGAGGAACTGTTGCACATGGCAGGGACAAAAGAGGAAGTTCAGGCCACTCATACTTCCTTTGGGGGTAATTTTTCCTCTTGGCTTCTGAAAGGCTCATAGCATGTTAGTGATCTAAAAGAGTTTATTTTTTTAAAACTCTAAAGTACTTTATTAAACCAGCGATTTAATGGCTTGGCATTCAAAATACATATAAAGATACATACCCTAAGCTCCCTTACAGTTTAGTGATGTATACATGCCTCAAAATGATTTGAAATAAATACTTCAGACCTGAAATAACTGCAGATCCTCTCCTGCTATTCATTAAAGTAGCCCAATTTTTTTTAGGCTTCTGTGAAACCTGAACAACAACAACAAAATGCTGCTGCTTTAAGAGTTGCATTAATCAGTTGGTTTCTTAAAATATTGGCACTTTTTCTCAGATTTGGGCAGAGGCCTGAAATTTTTTTAATAAATAGAGAGATGTTGTACTTATTTGATATCTGCACACACTGTATGTGTGTGTTTGTGCACATACATATGCACATACACATAGGCTTGGTTATTGACTCAGTCATATAATAGAAAATACCTGGTAATTAGTTACTTCCATGCTTATTAACTAAAATCATAATTTTAAAAAATATTCTGTTGCTTGTTTTTATAACATATGGTAGCACAAATGCTAACTTGGGCTGTATTGGAGTATTGTACTTTATAATCATCATGTCCTTTTTGTCATAAGCAATCGGAGTAGTTTCTAGGCAAAAATAAAACTACAAAATATAAATCCATCCCAAACAATATTAAAATTGTGTGGTTTCGTGTCTGGTTCCTTCAGTAATTTATTCACAATATTTATAACTCACAACATGATAGAGAAGGAGGAAATGTTCTTAAGGAAACCTTTGCAAAATATACACATCATTCATGTTTTGAAATCTGATTTCAAGAAGCTGGACTTGGGAGTAATAAGTACTTCAAAAGCCTGTCTCTTGGGCTTCCATTCTACATGATTTTATTGGCAGGAGTGCACAATAGAATCTTCAAAGCATATAGGAATCAATGAATTACTTCTTATAGGCTGATCTGGACTAGATAGGTCTAAGCCCGTGGTGGCGAACCTATGGCACGCGTGCTACAGGTGGCACGCAGAGCCCTCTCTGTGGGCATGCGCGCCATTGCCCCAGTCCTAGGCCTTCAGCTGGGTTTTATAAAACCTTTTCGCTTTAGGCCTCCACCGCCGTGTGCAAAAAAAAAAGGTTTAATCAACAATCAATTTCAACTTCTCGCGGGGAAAAAAAAGATCTCGCAAAGTTGGAATTGATTGAACTTTTTAGTCCCACCCAGTCTGCCGTTATCACCGAAGCCACACCCATCCAATGGGCCACGCCCACTCGGCACCCGATGATACATAAGTGGGTTTTGGGTTGCAGTTTGGGCACTCGGTCTCTAAAAGGTTCGCCATCACTGGTCTAAACTGAGCAGTTTTGAAATCAAACTGCAGTTTATTAGAATATTGTCATGGTTATTGTAAATGTATTCACTTGAAAAATATTGCTTTTAATGAGGCAGGCTCTTTCATAAGTTGCATTCAGACCACACCAGTTATAATGAAGTCACTTTAAAATTAATGGGATTTACAATCCCCAAACAAATCAGAATTGTGAAATTGTGAAATTCAGCATTTCTAATGAAACGAATAGCAGTAAACTTTCAAATAACTTAAGCAGCTTTGAAGCAGGAGATTAAAGTAGAAGTTGCTTTTTGCATTATAGTGCATCTTCCAAAGCCCAAAAGAAAGCAAGCAAACAAACTATGTTGTTTATTAATATAAAAAAGAGAAGTAATTGTTAACTGAAGTTTCATAATTCACTGATGAGGAATGGCATGCTCTAAGTATACAAGGTTTAGTCAAAAGTTCTACTCATTTTAGAATATTTTCAAGAACAAAACAAACTTAGAAAAAGTAGAGAAAAGCTATTTGGCTAAAGAAAATATTAGATGTGCAATTGTGAGAATTTTGCAATTAAACTTCAGAGTAAACTGTCCTTTTGACTGAAAGACATTTTTTTTAAATATAAGAAAGTGTGTGTTTTAATATGTATGATATAACTCTGGGGAATTGAGATTGCAAATTCTATGGGAATTTGATTTCCTTGAGAATCTGTGTAGATAAGGGGGTAATTTGAATTATCATCCTGGAAGGTTAGAGAAAGGTTTGATGGCGATGAATGAATTTACGTAAGACTTCTTCAGTAGCAGTTGCATATATCATCTACCAATAAGTCCCACTGAATGGATGGGCAATGATTTGTAAATAGATATTTTGAGTTTTACTGCTGTTTTGTTTTCTAATGATAGCAACTGAACTTACCAAACCTAGGTTCAGTTCCTCTGCTTCTGACCTCAAGATTTTCAATACTGTCTGCCAGGGTTCTGATGAGGCAGACATCTTCTAAAACATATTGTTTTGGAATTTTGTTTAGTAAAACAGTTGTATTCCAATGGTAGAAAACTTTTTCAGTTACTACAAGTAAAACCCAAGGATGAGATATTCTGCTAATAGATCTTGCACATTTTTCATGAGTTTACTATATGGAAAACTATACAACAGGAATATTGGTTCTTTCACCATTTTTAAGTGTGTGACTCTTAATTATACCTTTACCAATAAGGGCAGCATATTGGTCATATGCATTTAAATCTCCTATGATTTCCCTTTCATTTTTTGTACCTTCAGAATTGGTTCTAGGATGAGACCTTCAGGAAAACATCCTATTGGCTAAGCCCCGTGCACCTTAGCCAGTGGAACGTTATGCTTGTCCCTTTGTAAATAGAGCACTCCTTTGTAAAAAATCATTCAGTTATAATATCTTTGGGAACTATGGCTGCTATTTTACAAACAATTGTATTCTAAGATTTCCACTGGTGTCAGTGGATCATCATTTTGTAGATGAAAACACCTTAATATACCTGTAGTACTGTGTTTTGATGCCAAAGATTACTCTATTTCTAAGTGTGCTTGGGACCTTTAGAATAATACATGTGCCTAGGATTTTTTTTTCAGTTTAGGAAATGAGTTGAAATTATTTTTAGGCAAAAAACAAACAATCCCCCCCCCCCCGAAATCATTCCTGGTAAGCTTCAGGAATTGTTAATGAGGAAAATTGGATTTGATGTTAAAAAACATCAAATTCAATTTTCTGTTACAAACCTGCAGAGATGTACAAGCAGAGCTCACTCTGTTTTCTGTCTTTCCATTGTACAGGAATTATTTGCTAGCTTGACTTCTGAAATGGGAGGTATCTACTAATTATAAAAGGCTTAATAGAAAATACAATTTTAAAAAGTGGCATTTACTGTACTGTGACTTGTAGATTCAAATTGGGATGGACTTTCTTGTCAATTGGAAGGAAGCTAGCTAGTCTTTGACACATCTTCAAACATTAATTCATCTTAAAATGGCCAAGGCAAGGATTGGTAATTTTTTAATTTATTTATTTATTTATTTATTTAATTTAATTTATATGCCGCCCTGCTCCCTGCGGGACTCAGGGCGGCGCACAACATATTTAAAACCAAAGCATATATACAATCCCCCCCTATAAAACCGAATTAAACCAAATTTTAAAGTTGTGTCTTCCAAATTCCTAAAAATGAACCCAGTATAAAATCCTCCCTAGGTCAGGTCCGCTTGCTGAAAGAGCCATGTCTTGAGGGCGCGACGGAAGGTAAGG